CCTTGTATTTACTAGATTTACATACAAATAATAATGATAAATGATGATAAAATAAAAAGCTTGTGTTTTGTTTGTAAATTGCTTATTTTTTCATTACATTGAAGTTGTGGATTCTATCAAACATTTTTCTACAGGATGTATGTACTGTATTTTTTTAATGTGGCAGTCTTTGAAGCATATCAACTGTGCAAAAAGAGGGCTAAATGTACTCAATGTTAACCGTAAATGCTGTTTTATTATGTCGATATTCCACACTAAAAAATGTGAGGGTCAGGGAATTTGGACAAAGTTGGTCAGGGAAAATCAGGGAAAGTCAGGGAATTCAAAACAAAAATTTGAGTAGGAACCCTGAAATAATATACATTTTTCTTATGTTTTTACTTTTAATAAAGATTCTTGCAGTAATTTTCTTTAAAAAAACTGCAGAAAATTTTTTGCTAGGAATTTGATTGATATCAAAGTTTTGTTAGAAAGTGAAATATGCATGCATTCTTTCATTAATAAAGTAATGATTCTTTTTAACAAAATAAATATAAAAGAGAGCAATACCTTGTTGTTTTTTGTGTATTTGCAGTATGCATATATGAACTATACTAGTTATAAATTTGATTCTATTAGAAATAATTGAAATAAAATAATATAATTAATTATACACTATAAAAATGTTGAATTGGAAGTATTCTAATCAGTCATAATGCATTATAAAAATTTACCGATTTATTTATCAATTGTGAAAGTTAAAAAGATTATGAAATATAATAAAACAGTGATTTCAAAGTTATTCAACTTTTGGACTACTTACACAAGTCGCAGATAAAACTGCAGACCACAGATGCTCCCTCTGCTTCTTATCCTGTAATTGAAGGCTTTGGTGGTAAATCTGCATATTCCACAAAACTTCAAAAAACAAATTAACATATTTGGTGTTATGTGTCATCAATTTATTATATCTTCAAAGAAACTTTCATGGTTTAGTTGCATGCCCCACAAGTTGAATTTTTGTGACTGTCAATTAATTTAAAATTTTTCATTTTTATAGGTCAGTGCAAATTTTGGTCCCAGATTTAGGTATCCTCCAAAGGATACAAAATTTCGAGCAGTAAGTAATAGTGTGAAATTTATTTATTTATTCCAGATACACACATACATATATAATATGCTGTATATAGACATTATATTTCAGTGCATGTAAGAGCATGTTCTTATATATAGGGTAAAATGGAACTATTTTTTTGCAAAATATCTAAAAAAACTCACTATTTAAAATACAGATTCAGAATTATTTTTTTACTTTGGTAACTATTATAAAAATAAAAAGCATAGAGATGTTACTTAATAATTACTTTATATTTAATTTACATTGATACAAAAGTGCAGTACTCTTATGAGCCTAAAAAAGCTGGCATACAAATAGCATGTTTTTATATGCTAGTTATACTCTTATAAACAAAGCAGATGTGTTTCAAAAACACAAAAATAAGCAATTTTTACATTTAAGATCATGCTCTTATTTGTGTGGAAATATGGTATGTGTGTGTTTATGTAAAATTAAATAATACCTATTCCAAAATATAGTCAGAAATTATTTGATTAGTTTAAATATTTTAGAATTTTTATCTTTGGATGAATAGAATAAAAGAAAATAATAACTACTGGTATCCCTCATATAACACAGTATTTATGTTCCAAAAAAGTGTCATGTTATGCAAATCTGTGCTATAAGAAACAAAGGACTAATACAAAACATTGGGGTTAGGTTCCAAAAGTTAACAAAAGTACATTAGTCTTTTTTGTTACTAAGAGAAATATGTTTATTAAAGTAATCAATAATTTATTTCCAATCAATAATTAACTAAAAATCACAATTAAAAATACTGTATTACATGTTAATATTAATTTTACTTAAATGAGAGGTTTGTTTTTTTTTTTTACAAAGTATTGTCATCGTCTGAGCTTTGCTGATATTTCTCATAAGATCAACAAAAATGTCTATTTTTTTTATCTTTACCATAAAAGATTTTTTGGATGACAAAATAAAAATATGTTATTAATCAAAAGTTTGTTCTAGAGAGTCATATTTGTTCAATCAAATACCATGATTTTTTTCCTAGAATATTTGTGTTTGGATACTGAATTGCTCAAGTTGGAACAGTTCAAGTAACGA